ATATATATATATATATATATATATGAAACAGAACCCTCACCCCAATTAAATTATATTTTAATTTTAGACATAATTTCGATTTATTTTTTTATTAAATCAGAGACAAAAACAGGTGGAATAATGATATGATGATATATATGATTGTATAAAATACCATATTATTGGTTACTTAATTTAGAATTTCAAATGCATGATAATGTTGTCACTGTATCGAATCATACTAATCTATCAAACTTTCATATGAGGTGTTGGCTTTGATAGCTTTGGAGACGTCGGTCATACGATACTGATATCGAGGTATCGATCATCTGACACATCGATGTGATAGTCTTATCATTATTCTCATATCAGAAATTATAGTACTCTTTGAATCTTTTATGCATCACAACTGATCATCATTCATCGCTAAGCACAGTCCAAAGAAGCTCACATCAAGTCATCCTAAGACTCGAACACTGCAAGTGCCATGGCGGCTGCTTTAGCCTGCTCGCTCGCAGCGCTTCCAGTTCAAACCCATTGCCGTAGCTGAAGCTTACATCTTCCACCTGCCGCAGTTCCCATCCATGTCCGCTCGTCTTCAACTCCCCAGACCCGGTGGACGACGACGAGAAGCTCGCTCCGGAATCGTAAGTCTCCTCCCAATTCCTCCAGCCGCTTCCTATGGTCAGCGCCAGCTCTATGTCGTCCTCCTGTTCGACCTCCACCGTTGCATCTGCTTCACCTCTTTCTATGTACTCGTCTGCTGGAAGTTCAAGATTGAGCACCCGGCAACGCCGCCGCCGCCGCCGCCGGCTGGTGCTCGGAAGACATGAATCCGCTGCAGTGCTGCTGCCATCGCCGAGGTGAAGCTGAGTGCAGCCGCCTAACCTTTGCTCGGTGTTGATGCCTCTCATCAGAAGCTTCTGAACTCTATACAAGCGATGTAGTTCATGGACCTGATGATGGTAGAGGCAGATTTAGACGTGCGCGCTTGTGGTTTAGTTGCTGAAGGTGAAGGGAGCCTACCTGTTGCCTGAAGGTCTCTTCATGCTTCAGCATCATCATCTTCATGCACTCCTTGTCGTACTTCCTCAGAAACCTCTCCATCAGGGGCGTGATTGGGTTTGACCGTTTGGTTTACCAGAATGACGATGCACTTGGGTTTTGCTCAGAATCTATCGACATCAGATGTGTATCGGCTCAAAATTCTGCATAGGCAAGCGGAGACGATGAGGACGGACACTGACCTGTGATGAGGACACGGCAGGTGCATCGATGAGGGACTCTGCTGCTACTCTTCTGCCAACTCCTCCGGCCCACAGTGACGTTCCTTGGGAGAAAGAAACAGTCTTCTTCTTCCCAGTGTGTGGTGAGGCATGAAGTATTTAAGGTTCTGTGGGCAGAATATTTTAGTAGGCTCCGCAGGCATGCCAAACAAATCCCACTGCCATGGCCTTTGCGGTTCAGGTGCATGAGGGAAAAGATGCCCCGGACAATGCCTACATAGCACAGGAGAAAACTAAGAAGGCCTACTTATTATATGCTGTATTGCAGAATGATGCAGTGCTCCTCCTCAGAATCAACATCATCCAGAATGGCCAAACCAACCATGGCATAATTAAAGATGCATGTTGACGACCGGTGTTGTGACCGAGTTTGTGCTACAATGTGAGAGGTGCACAAGTCATGTCTGCATGACTTTGATGGTGTCAAAAGGTGGAGACTCGGTTGTGGTCAATCTGCCATCCATGAGCTGATCTGCTTTCTGTCACCGGTACTCATGGCTTCTCTCTTTTGGACGAGCCATGTTGATGGAAAGCCACCGATTGTACATTTTATCTCTGATGATGTGCATGATCGATCAAAACACAAGGCAATGGGTCCATGCAGAGGCAGTAACCTACAGGGGAAGCAACACCGAAAGCTAAAGCATGCATGCGCTGTTGGTTAATGGCAACAACACCGTGGAGCCAATCCGTTTGTTCGGGAGGAGGGAAGGCTTGTCGCTGTCCTCCCAATGCACTGACAAAGGCGGAAGCGCTGCAGAGGGCAAGCAAACCGCCACGGGAGGAGCGCCTGTGGTTGTGGGCGTCAGTGGCGCACATGGTGAGGCCGGCGCCGTGTGTGCGTGAGTGCTACCGGAGCTCAAAGGGGTGGACATGGCCGAGCACGCGCTGCCGGGGCGAGGAGGCGCAGGCGTACGGCCCCATGGCCCCGCCTCCATGGGGCTTCTCAAAAGCAGCAGCAGCAGCTCATGAGCTCATCTCTGTGGCTCCACCACTCTGCTTCCTTTTGTTTCGTGTTTCAAGGAGGCGAGGCGGCCTCATCGATCCATCGTTAATTGAGCTGATAATGATGCAGATGACTGGTTCCGTTGAGCTCGTGGAAAGCACAATGAGAGAGAGAGAGAGAGATAAAAGGCAGCCCTTTGGTTTCTCATGATGGCTTCTGCTAATCGGTTTGCTCGTTATGGAACAAGGAGCAGGGAAAGGTACCTTTTCTGAATCATTCATACTCGTATTCTATAGAGTTTATACCGCTGGTTGGGCCATCTTCATCACTGTCCTCCATTCACATTCCATGCTTTGTAGTTCGAGATTGTCGATGATTATTTATTTACGAGATAGAAAGGGACTTAGGCAGATTATTGGGACTCTCTGTGGGATGAATTCTGGATTTCTAATATTTTCTTGAACAAATGATCTACATCAGTATTCGCCGTGTCAATTTGAATAGCAATTGAAATGTGTAGCTGCTGAATCTTTGACATTGACTTGTTATCTCTTTTGTGCACAGGATCAACTCGTATGACCTAAGTATATCGATCTGAAAGGTGCCAATACGATTGCAGGACTAACAAGATACAGTGCCCTGAAGCAGTTCCCAGAATTGCTCATTACAAGGAAGCAAAAAAGCAATGGCAGTAGTAATATAGTTAACGAGGCACAGACATCATTAAATATAAGCGCATGCTTGGTGGTGGTTTAGAAGCCAGAGGTCATCGGGTTCAGAGCAAAGCTCTGGAGGAGTACGTCAGCCTGTGTAATGATAGCGAGGGCGTCAAGTGGGTGCATGCATTGCTCCCTCTCTCGTCCGTGTCGTCTCCGAGGCGAGACTACTCGATGTGGTGTCTCCTATGTTTGGGACTTGAGATGGCCTGATGGACAAAGCGACGCACCCTTTGCTAATTGCCGATCTATGCCTTTTTGACATCATTAAAATAAAAATTAAATGATATGTTGGATAGTATCAAATCGTATGATCAACTACTGGTGTTATATATATATAGCAAAATTTTACACACAATTTTAATTTTTTGAATTCGGTTTATGACGAAAAGACGTCTGACATATTTAATTTACTATAATTTTACTCATTTTATCGAAAGATATAATTTCTTTTCCTATAAAATGTATTGTTTAAAATATACTTTTATGCAAAATTTAAATGGACTCATTCACCGCATCGGTTGAATACTGTCGCTGAGGCTATTGCTGATCTGTAGGTGTCGGACTCGTGCGTCATGCACGAAGTCATCTTTCGTCTTGTAATCACCCGGTCAAACGTTACCCCAAAGCTGCACCCAAGTCGTGTACACACGCGTCTCACATCCGGCGCGGGTGACCCCACCATCTCTGCCACTGGTGGACCAGGTCCCGGCTAGTAAATGTCCGTGCAATTTCCAGGTCAAACGTCACCAAACCCCACCCTACCCCCCGAAAGCTTAATATAAAGATTACATGACGCACAGCAGCTTCATCGCGAAGCTCACCGAGAGAGAGAGAGAGAGAGAGAGAGAGAGAGAGAGAGAGGAGAGCAGGACGAGAGACATGGCGGCTGCCTTGGGGATCCCGAAGGAGTACGGCTACGTGGTGCTGGTGCTGCTCTCCTACATCTTCCTCAACTTCTGGATGTCCTTCCAAGTCGGCAAGGCCCGCAAGAAGTACTTCTCTGCTCTTGCGATCTCTTCTTCTTCCTTGCGTTCGTCCTCTGTTCGCTCCTGATATGCTCTCTTCCATGGCGGTCTCAAGGTACCAGGTGTTCTACCCCACCCTCTACGCCATCAAGTCCGAGAACAAGGACGCCAAGCTCTTCAATTGCGTCCAGGTCTCACTCTCCCTCCTCTTCTCGACGAACTTCTTGATCAGATTCTCTCTCTCTCTCTCTTACTGTGTTTTAATGGTGGTGGCAGAGGGGGCATCAGAACTCGCTGGAGATGATGCCGGTGTTCTTCGCCACGCTGCTTGTAGGCGGCCTGCAGCTCCCCGTCATCGCCGCGGGGCTCGGCGCCGTCTACACCGTCGCCCGCTTCTTCTACTTCAAGGGCTATGCCTCCGGCGTCCCGGAGAACCGCCTCAGGATCGGGTACTACTTCTCTCTCGCCACCCCCCGTTGTCGACTCCTCCCTCCCTCGTTTCTATCCAACACAACAAGGTGATCGCGTGTTGTCGCTTGCAGGGGAATCAACTTCCTGGCCTTGTTCGGGCTTATAATCCTCACGGCGGCCTTCGCGATGAGCCTTATCCTCGATGTCAACATGCAGTCTCGATCGTCTTCTTGAAGCTTTGCTGTTAGCACATGATACAACCTTTTCTTCTTCTTTTATCTATGTTGATCTTTACATGCTGTTCATTCCTACGCGCTGGCCATGTATTCTGTTTTGTGCATTGACCATGTCGGTCAACACCCTATTGGGGTCAACTTTGGTTCCGTATTTAATAAAAAATAATTTAATTTTAGATATATCTCTCCAATCACGCATTTCGCCGGTGAACAGCACGATATTTGAGATGGAGATCGACGAGTTTGCCGTGAGTCTAAACGACTGCAACATTGGAGCAAATCTCTTCTCGGATCAGGTAAGATGTTTGGATTGCGACCCGAACCCGATGGTCTGTATAGTTTTTAACGGTCTATCTGAGTCAGGCTTTAAATCTCGGATATCCGAATCCAAATTCTGGACGGATCGGATCCGATGAGCATGTGTCGTACGAGCCAGGCAACACAGAGTGTCATGAGCAGAGCTGTGTGAGGCCCCACATCTTCTGGGTCACTCAGGGATGGGGTTGGTGTGGGGTCCCACGATCGACCGTGATCAATGGCACGCACGAGATCGAGGGAGCCTCCATCCTAACCTTGTGCTGACCGGGTCGCAAACAGAGCCCATAAACGACGCGGGCCTCCGCGGTCGCCTGCACCAGATCAGATAACCCTAACCCTCGCTCTTCTTCCAGCTCGAAGCCGCACTCATTGCTCGATCGACCGTCCCGTCTCGGCTCCTGGGAATTGGGGGAATCCAACCCCAACCCATCTCCTCTCTCCCCCCACCTTCCCAGCCTCGATCCCAAGCCCCGAATCGACCCCACTGCACCGACCACGAGAGGAAGGACGCGATCGATCGAGCCCTAAATCCATCCTCCATGGCCGCGCCCACCCCGACCCCAATTCCCCTCGCCCAAATCGAATCGTCCACGGCTTCCCCTGCCGCTGCTGCGGTTGCTGCTGCTGCTGCTGCCGCCGCTCCTCCCCCGTCCAAGCTCCCCATCAAGCGCAAGAAGACTCCCCAGCCACACTCCCAAGAACAGGCACAGCCCCACCTCTCCTCCCCCGACCCCCTCCTCGTTCCCGCCCCTTCCTCCTCCTCCTCGGATCCACCCCTCGCCGCTGACCAGGGCTTCGACGAGGACGATGACTACGATGATGGCGACGACGACTACGGCGCCGCAGCGGCCGCCGGGTCAGCCGCCCCGATCGACGTGCGAGCCGGCGGGGCTTCGGCTGCCGCGGCCCCTCCCTTCCGGTTCCAGCGTGTGTGGTCGGAGTCGGACGAGATCCGGTTCCTCCAGGGCCTCCTGGGCTGCTGGTCGCAGGGCCTGGTTTTCCCTCGCGACCTCAACCTTTTCTTCGACCGCTTCTCCGAGTCCATGCCCCAGCCTTACACCCGGTCGCAGCTCTCCGAGAAGCTCCGCCGCCTCCGCAAGAAGTTCCGCGTCATGTCTTCCCGCATCGCCCGCGGCCAGGACCCCGCCCGCCTCGCCCCCCACGACCGCGACGTCCTCCACCTCTGCACCCGCCTCTGGCACCCCTCCTACGCCGCCTCGTCCCCCTTTTCGGCCCCCGACGCCCTCGCCCCCGGCAGTGGCGGCAACAAGCGTCGCCGCCCCAACCCGCGGGCCCCCACTGGCCAGGCCCGCCCCGACAACCCGCCTCCCTTTCCCGCCCCTCCTCCTCCTCTTCCCGCACCTATCGCCACCCTAACACCTCCTCCACCCCTTCTTGCTCTTCCTCCTCCTACCGACGAAAAGGTGGCCTGCATCGGTGCGGGCACCTCCGTGAACGCGCTTCATCCTGTACTGGAAAACGAAGAAAAGGAGGTGAAGGTGGAGAAAGAGGAGAAGCCTCTGTCGGGGGTGGGTAGGGATGAGGTTGCTCCTGGCATCGATGTGCCAAGGCATCTGTTGGCGAAAACCATCCTGGATGTGTTTGATGCGTGCCTCAACGAGTTCAAGGTGACCGTGGCAGGGCAGGGGCTCGTTTTCCCAGGCGGCTCTGCTTCGTCCGGTGCCGCTGGTAGGAGTGACCTGGAGCAGAGATGGCGGGAGCAGCGGGTCACCGAGCTGGACGTCTTGGGCAGGCGCTTGAGGTTGGTTCTCGAGAAAACCATCCAGAATTGAACAGTCTGCAGGGAAAGAAACTAATTTGGATTCTCCTCTGCTAGGATGTGTTATTAGCTTCCAGTACCGTTTATTTATGCGTTGCTTTACGAGTTTGTACATCGTCGTATCCGTAGTTCATGTAGTTCTTGCGTCTTAATATAAATGTTTGTCTTTGTGGTTGCAGCAGAATCTAATTTTGTTTGCATGAATGATTGCTTTACCTTTACGTTCTACAATTCTCCTAGACATGGAAATGTTTAATTGCAAGAACTCTGTTGTTGGACAAAATGCAACGAAGTTGTGGCTGTTCGGTGGATGATCTATAGGATGAATCGGACGTATCAGCCTCTTTGTTTTCCTAGAGGCTACATGTTAATCATTGTTGAATTCATATTGATTTATTATGGGTGATTAGGTCATATTTTCTTGTAACCTGTATATCCATCCTATTGAGATCCCGTGAAAACATGTCACTTGTGTTCCATCTTTGAACTTTTATCGAATGAAGATGATTATGTGCAAGTCTTACGAGGCAAAGGGTTCTTCGGGTAATGATGTATGTGTTACGTTGGGACAAACTTGCTTGTCCTCCGAGGACCAGGGGGTTTGGTGGCATGAAACTCTAGGCCTTGGAGGCTCGCCCTGGGAGTCATTTGGTGAAAGATGAGTAGAAAGAAAGTATGCCTTTCTTGGGGAGCCTTGAAGGGCAGGGAAACAGCCATTTGGTGAAAGATAAGTAGAAAGTATGCCTTTTATTGTTACTCGTTGCCTCTTAGCGACACAACAGTTTCTAACTTTCGTTTTCTACATCGGACGTTACTACTGTCACAGGTGTTCGATGAAGAGGCGTAGCATCGGCGTGCTAGACGTGACTCTTTTTAAGCATGAGGAGGAGGAGGAGGTTCAGAACTTTCAGTAATGTAAAAAAGGAGAGGCGTAGTAAAGCTCGGATGTAGAAAGAAAGAAAGCTTACCTGCAGGGAACTGTCACAGTGGTGCTATCTATAATTGGGACAAGAAATGGCCGGTGGAGAAGAACAATGAGCGTATGAATCAGTAGTAAGCAGGGAAATGACAAACATAATACCAAGGGCTGTACCTGATGAGGGTAATAATGGCGACATGATGCGCCACGACGTCAGCCCCGTTTGAACGACACTCTGCCCAACGAAGGCAATAATGCCAACGCGATGTGCGCTGACGTCATCCGCTCTCAGACAACGACTTCATCGTTGTCTGACCCAACACGCTTGGCCGAGGCAAAGGAAAACGACGACCGAGGCATGCCCATGCCCTGCGGCACTTCGGTTCTCCACGCAACGCCAACGGCAATGTCAGACGCCATCAGAGGTACGATCCTGCTCCTGCAGACAGGCACATCAGGTAACACTTAACTTACCTATAAATACCCCCGAGTTTTAAACGAGGAAGAAGAAAAGGAAAAAAGACTTCTTCATCTGGAACCCCCTCCACATCTGCTAACTTGATCGTCGGAGGGGTCGGGCCGAGCTTCAGACCCGACTTGTGTGCTTCTTCCCGACGCTGCGGAAAAGCCTTTCTCTCGACGCAACGGCCCGACCGGACCACCGTAATCGGCCACCTGGACGATCTCGAGGGGCGTCGTGTCAGATCCCTGTCATTCGGACCCCAACCAAGCCGCGTCGGCCCCGAGGCCACGACATAAAGTTGTTTACACCAACAGATTGGCGCTAGAAGGAGGACCCTCCGAATGTCGAGCGATCAGCATATCCACTCTGACGAACCCGCAGTTGTGGGGTTGCGTCCGGTCGGCACCCCGGAAGAACATCCCCCGCGAGATGAACTCCGAGACGAATGCCCCGCCACAACATCCCCCGTCGGCCCGTCGCTTGTGTCGCCCGAAGCCTTTCACGACCTCGCTCATCAAGTCCGAGCTCTGATGGGCATGGTGCAAACTATCATCCCGCTCGTCTCCCAACCGACGCCCCCGCATATGACCTAGCCTCTGCAACAGCGGGAGCCCCCCACTCGGACTCATACATCGCTCCCCGAGCTCCCCACTTCGCCTCGGAACGGGTCAACCCAACTTGGGAACCGAGGGGCGGAAAATCCGGTGACTCGCCCGGAACCCGAGGCGCTACCTATGGACTCAACGAACGACCTGCGAGCCCAGTTGCGCCTTGTTAGTCAATGACTTGACGAAGTATAGCAGGAGGTTCACAGGTCGAAGGGAGAGCTCGGGGCGGACATACACTGAGGGTCCTCATTCGCGTCCGAAATACAAGATCAAGTGATCCCACCGCACTTCCGGCTCCCTTCACTGGACGCCTATGACGGCGCCACTGACCCAGCGGACCACATAGCCGCTTTTCGCACTCAGATGGCGCTATATGGGACTTCTGACGCCTTGATGTGCAGGGCGTTTCCGACGACTTTGAGAGGGCCAGCTCGCGCGTGGTACAGCAACCTGAATACCGGGACCATCACCTCCTTTGACCAGCTCGCCAGAGACTTCGAGCTCAACTTCCTGGCCTACGCTCGACCGAAGCCATCCGTGGCATTACTCCTCAGACTCAACCAAAGGGAGGACGAGCCCCTCTCCCATTTTGTGAACCGCTTTACGATGCAAATTCGGGGGCTGTCGGATGCTCACCCCTCTTTGTTAATGCAGGCATTCATGTTAGGTCTGCAGCCTTCCAAGTTCTTTTGGTCTCTTGTGGAGCGA